TTAAAGATATTTATATATACTTATATATATATATATATATATATAAATATATATACCAATTATCCTTTATCCCCAGACAAAAAATCGGACAAATGTCCAGGTTTCAATGAGATGTACACCAGATGCAATGCAGAATGCGACACCTTTTTGTCTGGATCTGATTGACCCTAAACAGAGAACAAAATGCATCCCCGAAAGATGCACTGAGGGTTGCATCTGTAAAAGAGGCACCGGCCGACGTCAAGACGGAACCTGCGTTCGCATGAATTCCTGTATGAAGGAGTTGTTCGAAATCGATGAAGACTTTGCAGCTTCTGATATGGATGAAGAATTTGCAGTATCTGGTCATGATGATGAAGATTCTGCAGCATCTGATCATGTTAATGAGGGTTTGGTGGAAGGCCAATTGGTAAGTTGAGTAATAGATCTACGGTGAGTTGGAAGGGTTGTGTAGCTTGTTTGTTGTTTTGCAGAAGTTTGCGAAATGTAGCTCGAAGGATCCGAGGGATTGTAAAAAGAATAAACAATTTAAGGTATTTGAGATGAATATTTGAAACTAGTTAGAAAAAATCAAATTTGTTAAAAATATGGCGTTTAATTGTCAGATTTTTTAACTAAGTCAGGATAAGTTGAAAATTTTCATAGCCTTTATTTTTTTTAAAAACTTCCTACTTTATTGGTATTTGGGAAAGCATTGATATTTTAAAAAAAGCATTTTTTTTTTGAAAAAATCAGAAATTTTGATTAATTTTGTGTTTTCTGAAAGTTGAATTATTTAGAATTTACATAAAATGTAAAGATATGTTTTTGATAAATTTGTATTTTTTGTCTACATTATATAATTTTTGATTACTTGATTACTTCCAATTTTATAGCAAATAATTTGATATTATTTGAAAGAATTGCTGCATGTATTTTTTTTAATATAGTGTTTCGTAAAATTTAAAAAATTTTGATTAATTTTATATTTTTCTGAAAGTTGAATTATATGGATTGTATATGAAATTTGAAAATATGAGATTTTTGGAAAATGTCTGTTTCCAAGAATACTGCAAAACTTACAACTATTAAATACATTCTATTTTTTTTTTTAAAAAAAAGAATTTATTTTAAAGAAACATTTTTTTTTTGAATATTGCATTTGATTTCACAATGCACAATTGGAATTTTAAATCTTTTGTTCTAATTGAATTTTTTGAAAATATCTATATATATATTAATATATATTATATTATATATCTATCTATATATTAAGAATTTTTAAAATGTTAGATGTTTTATTTTGAAATTTGTGAACAGTTAAAAAACATTGATAAGTTTTAAATTTCTTGATATCATTTGTAAATATCCTATGACGTTTTTATGAATTTATTGAAAACATTGAAATATTATAAATTTCGTGAGGACATTGAAACAATTTGTATAATTTTTTTGAGAATAATGAATCGTTTTGGATTTTTATTTTAATCAGCTGAGCACCTTCAATTTTTTTTTAACTAACTCGGCGAGACCATTGAATTATTTTCAGAATATTGTGAAAATTTAAAACTTTTTTACGTTTTTGGAAACGTATAGATATATAAATATTTTGTATGTTTGAAAAATGTTGAAGTATTTTGAATTTTTTTAGAACTTGGAAACAATTTGAAAGAATTTTTTTGTCGCAGTTAGAACAATTTTTTGAAAAATATATCTTTGCAAATATTATATATATATATATATATATATACATATATATATATATATATATATATATATATATCTAATATGTGTTCTGATATATTTTAGGATTATTCATGGTCTGGTGAAGATACTAATACCGATATATCAAATCAATTGAAATACAAAACTGATTATAAACACGTAAGTTCCATTATTCACAAATCCCATAAATCAACCAGAATAAATCACTTTTATAATCTTTTAATATATACTGAAATATAAATTATTGTTTACTTAAAAATGTTGTAAAACAATCTGGCAGAAAAACTTTTTTGGTTCTATAAGTTTTGATTTAGTAAATTAGTATAAAAGCAATTTTGGCATTCTAGTAAAAAACAATTAACTTCTAAACTTTCTATTGTTATTTTTTAGCCGTCTGTATTTCAAGATGAAGATGGTACTGATAAAAAGACGTCACTGGTGGCTGTGAAATTGGTAAAAATTAAATATAAATTTTTAGATAATAGATGAATTAATTATATACTTAAGACACAAATGATGGATTTAAATTTAACATTTTTCTTGGAAAAACTTTGACAGTTTTATTCAGGAATAGACAGTTGATTCAGGAATAGTAGAGCTTTTCTTTTTACAAAGATTTAGAATAAAAAAAATTATTCGAATTAAAAAGTTATATCAATAAATAGTATTAAAGTATTTAAATCTAGCAAAAAATCAACCCTTTCGCATTGGTTTGAGTGCTCAGTTTTCGCATAGAATACATTTACATCACAATAAAAGTAATTTTAAATGCTGAAACTCCAACTTTTATATATTTATTATTATTATTATTAAATTTATTGTTTATTAACTTCTTGTATGTTTTTTAGCCCATTCGATTCAAAGAATTGGTCAATTCAGGAACAAATCATGGCAACCAGGGCTATCAAAGGGTATCTGATTATTGAAATCACAATATATATATATATATATATATATATATATATCTATATATTAATTTTTTTTATTTTTCAGCCTAGAATGAAACTCCAGGAATTTCAATCCCTTGATATTAAAAAAGAAGGAGATCATAATTATAATCAACGTTCATTGCAGTTAGTTCTTCAAAGACGCCCAAAAAGTAAAATTTAAACAAATAATAAATAATTAGTACAATACACTAAAAATATGTCAAAGTTCAATAATTTTAAATTACTATTTCTAAAATTGTATAGAGTTTCACTATTCTTACCATAAGATAAGAAAATTTAATAAGTCTTGATCATATTTATGTATTTGGAAAAACATTTTTCCACTACTCCTAGAAATGCATTTTTAGTTATAATAATACTATGTGTAACAAAATTATATGGTAATAAAATTGATTAACAAATAATTACTGTTTTCTAATCTAATCCAAATATTATATTTCTGATAGGCATTTCAGAAGTCTATAATTTTCAGAGAACGTTTAATTAAAATTGAGCTTATTGCTCATTTTTTCAGTGATGGAGTTTGTGGTTTATTACAATAAAAATATAATAAGCCTATATCTCTCAATAAAGTATAATTATTTTTTATTTAATATATTTTATATATATTTCAAAATAATAAATTTTTTATATTTTTATTTTATTTATTAATTTTATTATTATCATTATTTGCATTTATTTTATATTAAATCATCATAATACGGATATCATTTTAATGAAAATACTATCCTAATTTTGTACTCTATTTTATTTATATTTATGTTATTATTCACTTATGTTATTAGATGTTATATTATATAGCAGTTGTTACAGATATTGTAATTAAAAAAAATTAAATTATTTTATCGTATTTCTATATCTAATTATTGGCTCCCCCATTTTAATTAAGTAAAAATTAAATATAAGGTTGTCAAATATCTCCCTTCCGCCTTTTTGTATTATAAACCAAGAGCAAAAAAGCGGAAGGGAGATATTTGACAACCTAATATTATAAAGTGGTTAGTATAATTATATTGGATACTGGCAAAATTGGTAAGGGCAAAAATAAATGCTAATAATTTTTAAAAAAAATTTAGTTAAAACGTACTTTAAAGGTTTCCATTCCAACTACAATAGTATTGATAATATTGTCTATAACTGGAATTTATTCTATTTTTATGATATTAACGATGGTATTTATGGTACTTATACAGCTACAAGTATCGAGAGTAATGTAATTTATATCATATTTTGATTTGATACATTTTTCCAATATTTTCTGGTATCATTTCGTTTGTTGATGCTTTTTATTATTATGGTGCTTTTGGTTCAATAATTTAGTTCAAAAATTTATTCTGCACAGTAGATACTTAGTAGAGCAAACCATCGTCAAGGAAAATGTAAAGAATTTAATATTATTTGAGTACTGATAATAAAAAATGCACCAAGGCAAAAGTATTGAACCCGCCGATACTTTTTTCCATTTTTGATACATTTTGTTTTTTATTCCAAAAACTAATCCTAATCGACCTATCAATGCTCCTACGTACGATAAGACGTCTTATATTAATATTTTATAACTTTCTACAAACAATCGTCACCGATCAATAATTATTGTTTAAAAATTGTTTAAACAAAAACGTGTTATTAAATCATTCGGCAACAATCGCGTTTTTATCAGAAATGAAAAAACAATTAAAGAAATTAATAGAAAAGAAAATACAGGCGCGGTCCGCCAAAATATTTACAGAACTTGGAGTACGCACTAAAATTAATTGTAAAAATATTTTGAAAAATTATCGACCGCAGAGGAGACCGGGATGTAGAAGAATAATGTAATTGACATTTGTAAAAATAATCATTTTTTTTAAAATTAGATGTAATGTAATTAGAGTCTGCTCAGACACGATTTGTAATGAACTTACCCATAGTGGTAAAAATTAATCAAGGTAAAAATAAATTAGTAAGCATCAATGATGTCGATTTTTTGAAATCTTGATATCAACCAGAAATAATAATTATGTTACAAGTCGTTGTATCAATCAATTACTTTTTAGATAATTCATAAAAAAATAGTGGTCCAAGAGTGCACCCCTAAGGTACACCTAATCTCAGCAAAAAGTCCTTGAAAAACACGAATTGCACACGATTTTTAAAATAATTGCTAGAAAAAACTAATAAATAATAAAACCAATTTTATATAATTTTTCATGCAAGTGTATATATGTAAACTATTACCATTACCTCCGTTCTCCTCTACAGTTTTCAATACCGATGTCTCGCCTTTACAATTTGCGTCAAAATGAAAACCATATAAAAAGTGACGCATACTTTTTAACAGCTCAGTATAGTTTAGTTAGTGACAGATTTAAGTAATTAATTTTCCAAATTAAATAATTAATTAATTAGTTTATTTATAATTAATTAAATTTCTTAACAATGTTTATATCACAGACACAAATGGCAAAGCTTGCTTTGCTCATTTGTTTATTTGGAATACAAACGGGTGCGGCCAGCAAAAAGCATTTTAAATATGCTATAGGTAAGTGGAATATAGAAATAGGTGTAAGTGGCATTTTACATTAGGACAAGTTGCACCAACTTCTTTATATGTGGAAATAATAAATGTTAATTAATTATAAACGGTTAATGCTTTAACCATTGCTAGAAATTAATAGATGCTTTTAGAAGTTTATAAAGATATCTTAGAAATTAATTGATGCGTTTAGAAATTCATGGAGGTTTTTCAGAAATTAATGGAGGTTTTTAAAAATCAAGGGATGTTCCTGAGCAATAAATAGAGATTTATTAAAAATTACTGGTCTCTCATTAGAAATTAATGGAGATTTTTTAGAAATTAATGGACACCCTTAGAATTTTATGGAGGTTCCTTACAAATTAATAAATGCTACTCAAAAATGAATAGAGAGTTTGTAGAAATTAAAGGACTTTTCCTGAAAATAAAAAAAAGTTTTTTATAAATGAGTGGGCACTCTTAGAAATTATTAAAGGTTTCTTAAAAATCCATCGATGTTTCTTAAAAATTAATGGAGGTTTCTTTAATGGACATTTCTTAGAAATTATTGGAGGATTTTTAGAAAACAATAGATACACTTAATAATTAATGACGGTTTCTTAGAAACTAATCGTCTTTCTTAAAAATTTAATCGAAGTTTTTAGAAATTTATAGACGCTTTTTTAAAAATTGATGGGCGTTTCTTAGAAGTGAATAGATGCTCTTAGAAATTAATGGAGGTTTCTTAGAAATTAATTGATGCTCCTCAAAAATTAGCAAAGGGTTCGTAGAAATTAATGGAAGATTTTCATAATTTAAGGGCACTGTCAGAAATTATTCGAAGTTTTTTTAGAAATTAATAAATGCTCCTCCAAAATTATTGGAGGTTTCACATAAATAAGTAGACGCTTTTTACCAATTATGGACGTTTTTTAAACATCAATTGACGTTTCTTAGCATTTAATGGAGGTTTTTAAATTTTGTGGACGTTTCTTAAAAATTAATGGAGACTTCTTAGAAATTAATGGAGGTTTCTTAAAAATTTATTGGCGCTCCTTAGAATTTAGTAGAATTTCTTAAAAATTCATGGAGTATTCTTAGAAATTACTGGAAGTTTTTTAGAAACTAATGGTCTTTTGTTAGAAAATGTTGAACCCTCCTTAAAAATTATCAGAGATTTTTTTTAGATATTTTATTGAAGATTTTTAGAAAATTAATAGACGTGCTTGAAAACTAATGGAAATTTTGTAGATATTAATGAGGATTCTCAGAAAATGATTTGACGCACCTTAAAAACTAATACAGGTTTATTAAAAATTAATGGGGATTTTTTTTAGAAATCAATTGACGTGTTTAATGGATGCAACCTTGTAATTTGTGAATGTTTCCTGGTTATTCATGAATCTATGACTTTTACTAATTAATAGACACTCACTTAATTGGTACTTAATGGAAGCCTTCTAGTAAACAATGAAATTACACTTCTGACGTCTCCTTGATAGTAATTTATAAACGCTTTTATGATATCAATGGATTTTTCATAAAAATTAGGTCTAAAAATGATCCTTAGTTTAGTAATCAAAATACGACCTTCAACCATTTTTTTTTTCAGATGACTTAAAGTGTCCCGGCTACAACGAAGTCTACACCGAATGTTACGGCCCCTGCGACACAACCTGCAACGATATCTACGACCTCCAAAAAATCACCAAATGCAGATTCAACCACTCTCCAACCATCGTCAGTTCCGAAGAAGAAGAATCCTACGAAGATCAAAGCCAGGAAGATGACGACACTGACCACCATTCTTCGAGCCAAGAATTCGATAAATGGTCCGACGAGGAAGAAGAAGATGATGATGATGATCATGATGATGAATCCAGTGAAGAAAAAGAAACTGAGGAGGATTCTAAGGAAAATTTGTGCCAGGAGGGTTGTATTTGCAAGAAGGGCACTGCCAGAGATAGTTCAGGGATCTGTGTGCCTTTTGTTACTTGTGATAGGAAGTTCTTCAATGTGGCTCTTGGGCAAAGATCTTTTGATGATGGTGAAGAGTTTGTGGGGCAGATTGGAAGGGATATTCAGGTAAGGCTGGTGAAGCAACCAGAATGGTAAGTGGAATTCTCTTTTTTCTGGGAACACAAAAAACTTGTCGCTTGATACTTGATCAGATTATATTTTATCATACACATCTGATTGTAAAATTTTTATTCTAAATAATAAAGCAGTAGTTATAGACCAGTTCTTCATTATTACTCTATACAATTTCGTGGTCGACCCAAAGTATCAAAGTTATTAACTTTCCGAAGGAGAAGTTTATGTTTTCATCTAAAAATCCGATTCGCAAATTTTATGTTTTCTCGACGTTTCAAGCCATTCTAAATCGAATGAGACCAAATTTGGAGAAAGTATGTATGATTTTTTGCCCTAAATCGACGTTTTCTCAAAAACGGATCAGCCGATTTTTAAAAGCCGATCGATGTATCTCGATGAGTACCTGTGTTTCTGGGTTTTGTGCGACGATCGGCCGGGCCGTTTCTTTGTAAATTGCAGAAAAGTGAAAAAAATTTCGTCCACGTTTTAGCCCGCAATTCTGAATCGATTTTGAAAATTCATAAACCATTTGATAGATATAGGTTGGGAATCGTGCTGATTAGTTTTTGGTAAAGATCGGCCGGGCCGTTTTCTTGTAATAAAGTTTTTTAAAAAAAAATCGACAATTTTTATGATTTTTTTTTGACTGAAGGTCTTTTAGATCATACTAAAATATTACGGTCCTACGACAAGCCGTTTAATTTTGAAAATTCTTCAAAGGTTGCAAAAATTAGTTTCGTTTTTTTGGCATTTGTCAAAATTAGACCTTTGATCGAGATTTTCTTAAAAACGCCTAAACCGATTTCAGAAATTTAAAAGCCTTTTGATGTATCTCAATGAGGACTATCGTTTGTCAGTTTTGTGAGACGATCTGCTGAGTCATTTCTTTGTAAGTTGAAAAAAAGTGTTAAACTTTTCTTCCACATTCAACCTCAAACTACCGAACCGATTTTAAAAAATCAAAAACTGTTTGAAAGATATTAGTTGGGACTGATACTGATTAGTTTTATGTAAAATCTACCGACCCGTTTTCTTGTAATTAACTGTTGAAAAAAAATTGAAACCGATTTTTATGGGACTTGTTTGGCGATATATATCATGGTCTTATAAACTTACTGAAATATTACACGGCCTTACGACAAGTAGTTTAATTTAAAAAAATCATCAAAGTTTGAGAAAATGAGTAGCTTTTTGGACGTTTGTTTAAATTAAAATTAGACAATTTACTTGGTATAACGGTAGAGTACTTGGTCTTAATGAACATACTAAACCATTAACGTTCTACGAAAACTGGTTCAATTATAAAAATTATTGATTTGTGAAAATTTGCTTTTAGAAAATACTCCAAGTTAACGAGTTTGTTCGTTTTCAATTAAGTGTTATAAATCCACTCGGAATACTTTTAATCACTCATAAATTAATTTTTTTATTGATTAAATCGATTATTTATACATATCGGGAAGTTCATGTAACTTGCCTCAAGGCAAAATACCAATACCAACCAGTCGCTGGATATTTGATCAGGTTATACACATATGATTGTAAAAATTTTATTCTGAATAATAAACCAGTAATAATAGACCAGTTCTTCATAATTACTCTAACAATTTCGTGGTCGAACCAAAGTAACAAGCTCATCGTTATTTGATTTCATACTACAATCTTGGCATGTTTTTGGTTTCTGCCAAGTACTACTAATTTTTCATATTTCATAAAAAATGTCTCAACTGATTCTTTTACGAAAAAACATTTTTCTAATAAAGTTCTATAATATATAATTATTATTTTTGCAGAATGCGCAACAGCCAGAGTCAATTGGCAAACACGAGGAATACGAAGAAGAGGTACGTGCTATATATATTAGAGTGGTCCTTAATATGGACATTTTCGAATTTCCTTGCTCCCAGGGTTTCAAATGATTCTAAATTGATAACAATTTTTTTATCTTAAAGTTTTAGCTCTTAATATTAACTCTAACATAGTCCGCACTCTAACCAAAGTTCCTTGGTTTTTCTTCCTAAGTAAATACTTATTTTATGAAATATCAAATTAATGTTGTAATTTTTTTATTTTTGATCAAACTAAGCAAACACAATGTTATTCTTTTGATTCACTTGTCGCGCAGTTGGAAAAATCCAAAAAAATAAATGGAATTTTATCTATGTTAATTACATAAGAAACTTCGTTTGAATTGAAGACTATCTTTATGAGATAAAACTTTTAGAGATTTTTGTATCAATTTGAAAGAATTTGAGCTCCTGGAAGCGAAAAATTCGAAAATATCCATATTAAGGACCACCTTAATACATATCTTATACTATTTATATTTTTAGATAGTAGCCTTGGATTGTGACGACAACGATGAAACCAAATGCAAAACGCGCAAAATTCCTGAAGAAATTCAAGAATTAGTCAGGAAAAGACCTGACTTGATTTTGCCAATTTTGGGAATCACTACATCAACGGACTCTCAAGAAGTAAATTAAAAATAAATGTATATATTAGAGAAAATATAAAAAAATAATAATTAGTAGATACAGAATATAATCCAGGTCGATCCTTAAAAGTTTGGCAAAATTAGTATTAAGAGTTCTAACTGTTCTTTATAGATTATTGATGATGACAAGTCGGCATACTAAATTTTTATTGATTATATATTAATGATTGTATAGTTATATAAAACAATGCCACAGTGACGTATTTTTGTATTTTTTCCTTTTTTAGTTTCTGCCTTTTTTCTTTTAATTTATTTTCTTGGCTTTTTGTCTTTCAAAATTTGGTGAATGCAAAATGTCTTGTATCAAGTATAATTTAAATTCAAACGTTTTGATTTAGAAACCTTTAAAGTTGAGCAGATCCACATTGAAAAAACGTTTTTTTGTTATTTATTTTATATTTTTTTAGGAATCTTTAGACTATTGGAACAAAAACGTGAACGATAGCAAAATTTGGCAGTATCAACAAGAAGAAGATAACAGTGATGGCCATATAACTTCTTCCGGAAATGTTTTTTGGTACAGAAGTTGAAAATTATTGAAATTTCTTTAATAAAAAAAGTCAAAACTCAAAAATTAATTACGTAACAGATTGAGTTTTTAAATTAATTTAATTTAAGTTATATTTTGACAATTTTGTATACAAGATATCAAAATTATTATGTCTAAGAAAAGTTTGTGATGAAATAAATATTAGTAATGATAATTGTTTGATAAGTGTTTATAAAATAAATATAAACATTACTTCAAGTGTTTTTGATTGTTTTTAATTAATTCAAATATTTTAAGATATGATGTATATATAATGAAATAAAAATGCCATTTATATAGATTGTTGTATTACCTTTAGAATATATATATATATTTATATATTTTTGATCTATTAAATGAGCAAATGAATGGCTTGACCTAAATATACCAAAATTTGGTGGACATAAATTTTACAAAAATCTTCAATTATAAATGTGACATGAATTGTTATAAATATTTGGATAAAATGCTTTTATGATTTTTGCATAAAATCATTCGCAATTGAGTTCTATACAGAAAAATTGAGAAATTTTTCACAATGATTACCAGAAAATTGGTATTTACCTATCTTGCTAATTTTTATCAAAAAGTAATTTGCCTCAAATATTTTTTTAAATATTTAAAAATCAATCAAGTTTTTTTTGCAAAAACGTTGACGAAATTTTTATACTTAAAGGTATAGTACAAAAAATTGAGTTTTTTTAAACAAACCGAACAAAAAGTTGATGCTTTTGTCATAATATGCAACTTTTTGGGGATTTTTTTGCAACGTTGCATAATAATAAATTTCGTTATTTGAACAAACGTTTGACAATGTTATAGGCCTACGAAAAGTAGCTTAATTATAAAATTTGTATTTAAACTCATATTATCTATGGCCTAGATCTATTGAAAAGCCGCAACCTGAGAAGTTTTACTTCAAAATTTTTATTGAGACATTTGAATAAATAGAAAGAAATAAAATTAAAAATTAGAGAGAAATAAATATGAGTAACTGACATTCGATTTATTGAAATATTCAGAATCAATATGCCGTAAATTTTGTTTTTTCTTTATTTAAATAAAATAGTATTACTTTATTCTGATTACTTACTTTATTCTGATTGTTACATACAAATTTAATAAACAAAAATAGTGGATTTGTACATATTTGATTTTTATCGTAAATAATTGTTAAACAATTTTTTTTACGTTTTTAGTCAGAGTTAACTTAATGAAAGTTCATAATAAAAATAAACATCCTAAAATATTATACTCGTACAAAAAGTAGTCAAATCATAAAAATCATTAAAATTTAAATAATAAAAACCCGTTTCAGAACATACAAGTCACATTCATGAATTTTCAGAGAAAAATAAAATTATTTTCGAAATAAACGATTAAACTCATCTAAATATTTAAATCTCAATCCTTATTAATAAAGTCGAAAATTTCCACTTACAACTTGCCTTAAGCTAAAACGCCACTTACACCTAATTCATAATCAACTTATTCAAATTTCTTCATTTTCAATTAGTATATAGATTTAATATTTATAAAACTATTACAACATCGATAAGAGATCGATATAAGAAATTATAACATAGGTGTGTCAGATAAAAAAAGTAAATAATTGAATTCAATTAAATTTTAACACTCAAAATATTTATAATAAAATGTTTTTTTATTATTTCTGTGCGTCAAAAATATAAGAAAAAAAATCGGCCGTATATAAGAAGCTGTTAAAACGCAATTTGGTCAGTTGGAAATAGTTAGTTTAAGGGAAAATGGAGTTTGTGAGTGTTAAATTTGTTTTTGCAATTTGTTTGGTAATTGTTTGTGTGGAAGGGCAGGGGGATGAAATGAGTAAGTATAGGATAAAAGTTTTTGCAGAAATAATAAATTATATGACTGTGAAATAAGAAACTGTCACTTCTATCCGAAGGAGAAGTTTTAACAAATTTTTACAAAAAAATTTATATTTTTCAAAAAAAAATTAGTTGTTTACTTTATATTTTCTAGGCATTTCAAATCATTCTAAATCGTTTAGATACAAGTAACTAATAATTGTTGTTAATTAGATTAAAGATAGGTTTGGGAACTACGGTAAAATATTCACAATTGCTTCATAATTTTTTTCCAAAGGCATTGTATAATATATATTTTCGTTTGTTCCTCATAGAATCGTACATAATTTTTACCACATCTTTCACAAAAAAATAATTTGAACTTCAAAAATTTATGTTAAAATAATTTGTCCCTTCAACTTTGCATGAATATAATAAAATCGTCATGTTTTTGGTAATTATTGAAAATGATAATTGATAACAAAGAAATTCTACACAGACGAGTTTAATTCGTTTCCCACCCATGTTCGTATGTCGAATCGCTCGTATCTCAAAGCAATTTTTCTCATACAATCATATTGAAATATCATTATTATTTCCAAAAAACGCAAACTCAACCTATATATATATATGCAAAATCACTTAATTAAATAATGTATAGCTAAAATTTCAAATGTTAAAATAAACAATGGTATATTTGCGTAGTAAAATTAATATTATATAATTGAAATGATTAACTAGAAAGTAATATACTATAATAAAACAGTAAAAATAATTCTGTGATATAAAAATAATTGTTACGACTGACGAAATGTTTCATATTTCCATTTTGCCATTAACGTTTTTTTGACAAAGCAACAAATTTCTCCTTTAGAAGCTCGTATATCGAAACACTCATATATCAGAGGTCACTCGTAGGTCAAAGCATCACTTTCCAAAAATTTCTTTTCTTCTTAGCTACAATGACTGCGAAATTTTTTTGCCACCAGTTCTAGTCTTCTTACTAATATTTAGTTTTATCTTTTATTATTTTTTGAGTGAACTCTTACTCTCACTAAACCCGTATCTTGAATTTTGCTCGTATGTCAAAGCAACAAATAGCTTTTTTAGATGCTCGTATCTCGAACCACTCATATATCACAGGTCACTTGTAAGTCAGGGCATCATTTTCCCAAAATTACTCTTTTGCTTAGCTATAATGCCTGCCAAATTTTTTTTGTCACCAGTTACTAGTTTCCTCACTAATTCTTTTTTAATATTTTCTGAGAGTCTCATTCGTTCAAAACTTGTATCTAGAATTTTCCTCGTATGTCGAAGCAACGAATTGTTTTTTTTAACGACTCGACAACTTTTACTCGCTCAAAGCTCGTATGTCAAAGCAACGAATCGCTTCTTTGTCGGCATCAATGTACTGGGGGAAAACAATTTGATCTATTATCCACCACCAGCAGATATCAATAACATGGCCATGACTATTCATCTTGATAGTAAATACTACTCTTCTTGATAACTATTACTTTCACTTGCCAACAACTACTACTGCATTACATGCCAACAATTACTATTTTTTTTTTCAAAAATTACTATTGTCCTTGCTAACAATAACTCTTATCATCACCAACGATGACTTCTTTTTGTCAACAGTTACTATTCTCCTTACTAAAATTTACTTCTATTTTTAATATTTTTTGTGAAAACTCTTACTCAACTTCTATTCCACTTGCCAACAATTGCCATTGCACTTGCTAAAAACTACTACTGTCCTTACCAAATTGACTATTATTTTTGCCATCATTTACAATTTTGTTTCCTAAATTTTACTACTTTTTTGTCGATTTCCTAGGTGACATGACGTGTCCCAGTTTCAACGAAGTCTTCGTTGAATGCAAACCAAAATGTGAACAAAGTTGTAAAGACATCGTCCAGGACAGTGGAGCATCTACCGACTGCGAAGACAACTCCTCGTCCAGTAAGGAAAATGAGTCCTTGTCTAGTAAAGAAAATAACTCCTTGTCCAGTATAGAAGGCGATCCTTCGTCCAACGAAAGTTGCAATCCTGGTTGCATCTGCAAACCAGGAACAGTCAGAAATCGAAACCACATCTGTATACCAAAAGAAGTCTGCTCCTCCGATATGTCTGGTGCTCTTCTTGGAGAATGGACTTCAAACACTCAATTTTTGAAGCAGTCACCAGAAACTAAGGTAAGATGATAGATAGAAATTTGAATATAATTTCTATATATTTATATTTATTTCTCATTATAACATATACATTTAAACGGTCCATACAACATTTTTTGTTAACATATAGTTTTCGTATTTTGTATTTTTCTGGACTGTCTACGAATCATTTGCGCTCATTAAAGTAAAACTAAAGACCAAAAAAATCATTCGTTTTATAAAAAAATATTTCTTGTCACGACAAACCATAGATTCTATAAAAATATCATAATGTTTTAAAATTAATTGTTATTTATAAAAATATTTGTGGAATTAAATATAAATTGAACAAGAGTAAAATATAGGTGTAATATACCGTATTATTTTTTGGTTCTTTAAACTGTCAACATATAGATAAATACGTTTCGGGGTAAATATTTAACGAAATCAATTTTGGATTTTTTTTAACTAAAAATTATGCATGTTTTGGCTTAATTTTGGACCACTATTGATAAAACAAAATTTAATATTACCAAAACTTCGATAACTAATTTTTGAATTTTTTTGGCTTAATATTGGACATATTTTGGCTTAATATTGAACCAGCATTGATAAACCAATATTTAAAATTACCAAAAGTTTAATAACTATTAAAATTGGAACTAAAAATGATCCAAAAGTTTATTTTGCGGAACTTGGCATATATGAAATAATAATAATAACGAGATATTAAATTATATGTAAATATATTATCCACAAAATAATATAACATAAAAATAAATTACAAAAAAAAAAAAATTAAAAAATTGCAGGGATATAATTAAAAAAAATCTTACGCTTATTCGAGTCCATAATTGGATAAAATTTTAAAATTTCTCAAAGTTCATTAATTATTGGTAAATATTATATTTTGATTTTATGAATTTAATATTTAGTGTATTTCTAAAAAATTACCAAATTATTATAAAAATCTTAATTAGAAAAATGAAAAATTGGCAAAGTGTGTAAGTACGTTTTTACTTATTATTGAAAATCACATAAGAATAAATTTAAATCAACTTGTCTACATTAGTGTAGCGGAAATAGCTCAGTCAGTAGCAGGCCCGACTCACACGCTAGATACACTCGGTTCGAGTCTTGGCATTGACAGAATACAGTCAAAAATACTGTTTTTAGATGGTCTAAAAATTCAAAATAGTGGCAGAAATAGCTCACTCAGCACCATGCCCGACTCATACTCCAGGGACACTCGGTTTAAGTCCTGGAACTGACATAAAATTGTCATTTGATTTCTTGGTCAAAAATATTGTTTTAGGATGGTCTATTAATTCGAATTAGTTGCGAGAATAACTTAGTCAGTATCATGCCCGACTCTCACGAAAAAGACACTCGGTTCGAGTCGTGGTACTGACATAGAATTCTCATTTAATTTTCATAGTATATTAATTCGAAATAGTGGCAGAAATAGCTCAGTCAGTAGAATACCCAACGTGCATCTCACAGACACTCGGTTAGAGTCCCGGCACTAACATAGAATTCGGATGAGTATTTTAATTTTTGGGATAAAAACAGAGATATAGCATTTAAAAAAATACACAGCTAAGTTTAATTTTTTTTTAAATATCCATGCACGTTTTTTACGAACCCCAAATATTTATGAAATTCATAGAAATACATAAAAAATGTATGTACTTGAAACGAACATAAATAAAAACATTAAATAAACAAATCAAAAATGAAAAGAAAATCTGAAAATCAAAATACAACATTGTTTCAATATTGTATAAAAACGTTGCATCATGTTACACCAAAATCTTTTTCAAATAATTTTTTTTGATAAAAATTTCGTTCAAATTAAAAACAATATTGTTTGAGTATTATCAAACAATTTGACATAATTAGTATAAAATTTTTAATAAATTGTTTATTAAACGCATCATCCCTTTGTTGACAGTTAAAACTGACCCTAAAACCAACCAAAAGTTTATTTAATAAAAATTTAATAGTTTCTTATACTTAAATCTATTTAATTAAATTAGACTAGTTTAATACGTAACACTGACAAAGATATTATTAGATAAATAATTTCAATAATAACCGAAACAAGTTTCAAGTTTTTTTGGTTTAATACTGTGAACATTTTAGGAGCAAAAATTTATCTAATAAATCATATATATTTTTTTAAAAAATAATAATATTATTATTATACTTATTTAAATATGCATATATTCATTTAGCCTGTAAATTTCTATAAAACAACTCATTAAAAAAAATATATATTTGTGAGTACAAATAAGTCATTAGATTTTTGTTCAAAAAATGTCCACATTATTTTTAGAATAATTCTTTTATTAATTTTTGTGAATGTAAAATATTTATTTAATAAATATTTGAGTAGCAATAAAGATCTTAAATATATATGTATAAGTAATTAATATTAAAAATAAATTTAATACCAAAAAAATCTTTTCCCCATACAATCTCCAACCACATATGAATTTTATTCACGTTAGTGCCTCGTGTTGATTTTTTTTATAATATATATCTATCTAACTTTATTTATATATATTTATATTTTTATTTATATAATATATTATGCTATTTATTTAATATTTATATATATGTATATATACTTAATATTAACTCTATCAAGCGTTTGAAATTGACATTTAGGTTCACATAAGCTATAGGTTCATTTTTACACGATTTTTCATATAGATTAGTATTAAAGTTTGGTATATAAAAAGTTGGCGATAAAATGAATACTGAATTTGCAAAATTTTAGATATTTTTTTTGAAATTCAGTATTTATTTTATTTTCCTATATAAAACACAGCATCTAGATTTTTTTAGTGTGTATGTGCGATAGTTTTTTTTAATTGTCTATTTTAATTCTAAATGGTAATTAGTTTAAGCAGTAAAAAATAAATACAAGCTACTTTCTTAATTAACGAAGCTGGTCCTTAATTAGTTTTATGTGTATCGTATGAATTTTTTCTGGTTTTTGGTAAAATTTTCGAAACGAAATAAACCACAAAAAATATAAAATTTTATGTTAAAAATCGGAATTAACAAAAAATCAACGTAGTGGTATATTATTTTGTTTTCAAACCTGTTTTTGCAAGGTATTGGGAAAATCTTTCAGAGTCGTTAATTAACCCTTTCGACTCAAATGCCGCGTCAAAATTTGTATAAATCTCGCAATTTGCGAGTGGAAAGGGTTAAAAATCATAAATTTCATAGAATACTTTTGAAACCCATATATAATTTCTAATTAAATTTTCAATACTATTTGTAATTAGTTTTTTTTTCAGAGTCATTAGTTAACCTTTTCGCCTCAAATGCCGCCGCTGCGGCGTCAAAATTTATATAAATCTTGCAATTCGCGAGTGAAAAGGGTTAAAAATCATAAATTCTGTAGAATACTTTTGAAACCCATTTATAATTTTTAATTAAATTTAAAATAATATTCGTAATAATTTTTCTTTCTCATTAATATTTTTTAATTAAATTAATTAATACAAAAAAATTAAAGCAGGTAATTTTTTGCATTTCTTTTTATGTAAATTATTTTTTTTTAGTTTTAACAATTACGTAATTTAAATTTATTTCACATAATAACATAATTAATCGGTTTATCTTTTCTATATTATATATTTATTTATATAAATGTTATCTAGAATTAAACCTTGAAGGTAAATTTACGTGCTAAAGTGAGTGGCGCACTCTATGGAGAGCGGAAACAATTAAAATTGAAGTTTTTACGATCTATTTATATTTCTTTTATCTAAAATTCACCAAACAAAAACAGATTTGAACCAAACAAAGTTAAATCTTCTTTCCATAATTTATTTAAATAAAATCCAACTAGAGTTTCAAATTAATAACATAAAATGTGTAAAAATTCTGTACAAGATTGTTAAAGACAAGACCCTGCTTAGATAATTATTTCATAAGATTTTTTTTCAAACTTCAAAAAAAAAATTTTAATCTCTAAATAATACATTTTTTATAAATAAACAAAAAACAACTATTATTATTAGAAATTAAATTTCCGTAATCGTGTATATATGTATGTATATATAGTAAACATTTAGGCACTATTCTAAGAGGCAGACTGCGCATTTTTTTTTCCTGTTTTAATAATTGTCTAATTTATTTATTTTTATTTTAAATTTTTATTTTTTTGGATTTTATCTACAAAACGTAAACAATATTTTTTTGTATGCGCAGTCGTGATAGATTATCGCGTGTGTAGAAAAAGCATTTTTCCGGATTTCTTTAAGGGAAGGTTCTGTGTAATGCTCGAAGGGTTGTAGGTGAAATTTTGAAATTATGACGTCATTGAAAAACAATTTAATGCATTATATATGTTTTGAGTAATTTTAAAATAATGGCCCAACTGGAATAGGTATAATTATTTGTAAAAAAAAACTGGAGACGTACTTATATTTTGTTTATAAATTTTACTAAAAATGATTTTTATTTATTGGTTTGTTATTTCAGTAAACAATGTTTATAAAATTTGTATCATATTTTTTGGTTATCTTGTAATGTTTCGAAATTTTGTATAAAATTATTTTAGAACTTGTTTAACATGCTAAATGATGACACACATATACAGTGCCGAAACGTATATAACAAATATTTAATTCATTAATTATGAATAGTAAATTATTAAATTATCATTGGCGTTAACTCAAGAAAATTCACGGAAAATTTTTATAAATTTTCCTAAATTTTTTTTCTATTTTCAATGACGTCATAACTCCAAAATTTTCTCTAGTTTTTTTTTCAAAGTGGCGAAAGTACGTTTTAAAGTCCCGCTCTAAACGTTTTAGATTCATATTTATTAACATGCAGACTTATGCACTGCATAGTTTTTATTTTTTTGCTTAACATTGAACTACATTTTATATTTCATATTTTATATTTACTTTACTAATTTATAGAATAATTTCTTCACTATTGGCTTGAAGGAACGTAATTGGCTTCGGCATTTGAATCTAAACCATATAATGGAAAATCAAATGCCGAAATTATTAGGTTCG